CTCAGTAATATGAACCTGGCAGGACAGGAGTTGAGTGGTTTTTACCCCCTGGAGTCACTGTTCCAGTTCCTGAGCTCACTCATACATGTTACCTACTCCTGGAGAGCAGTTTTTGGCTAAAAACCCCTTTTTTAAAGGAGAATTCAAAAGCCAGTATGGACAGAAGCATTTCTCTGTGGGACTCTCAATTTATCATTGGCCATTGTTGAGAACATGGAAAAGTTTTCCTCTGTGATCAATGGGAGAATGTGTTTGTGTGGCTTGGAGCTCCAAGACTCACTTAACTCAGTCATTACTGCTATATATTGTTTGCTTTTCCTGTGTAATACATGACCTAAATTTCTTACCTAACCAGGTATAGAAATCCATATTTTGTTTCTTCAGATCCTGTATCATTGTTCCATTTGTCCATGGTGCTTTGGGTAGTGGTTCTGTTGATTTTTTTTTTAGTATTTTTGGCTGCACTTCAAACTAAGTCAGCAAATACTTTGCTATTAAACCATGTATTTTCTGTGCCCTGTTTATTTTTCAAAGGAACAGATAATTGCTGTTTTGGTAAAACTCTGACCACATTAAGTTCGACTCCTATCAGTCCTGTTATTTTTATGAAAGACTTTGCTGTATTCAGTGTTAGCAAAGCTAACAGTTCCCCAGCTTCCCAGACTTCCCATTTTCCATAGTGACTCCCACTGCCTGGGACAGAGCCACTTCAGGCAGCAGTGGCTGAAAGAGCAGCACCACCTGTGGGAAGCACCTGGGTTTATTTTCCTGTGTGCTTTTTAATGGACTGAGAGCTTAGGAGAGCTGCTAGAGCTGCTTTTGCTGTCCCAAGATCTAAATCTGTTAGGACCTCTCTGGTGCTGAGAAGAAAATCACAGAATTAACTAGGTTGGAAAAGGCCTTGGAGATCATAAGACCAACCTTCTGTGGGGAAAAAAAAAGGTTGGGTTTGGATGATGACAGGTGGAAATGGGAAAAATGTGATAATGGCAAAATTCTAGCAAGGAATTCTGTTCCCTTGGCATGTTTGTCATCAACCCCTGAGTCAAAGCAATTGTTTCTCTTCCTGGTGACTCCTGGGGGTGGAGGACTCCAGGGCAGCATTTAGTGATCCTTCTGAGTAATCTTTGTTGGGAAGCATCCACTTCTCAGTAGCTGATACCAGTTTTGGTCCTGTCATCATTACAATGGGGAGAGAGGCAGAGAAGAATTCACTCTGAGCCTCAGTCACTAAGCAGTGATCAATTTTCTTTGTTATTTTCAATTTGCCTTTAACTTGAAATGTAGGAGGCAGCAGGGTTTGCATCTGGAAAATCAGAAGTGCATCTGTGAGCCAGATGCTTTGCTGTGGAGGGAGCAGATCAAAGGATACCAGGATCATCAAGGTTGGGAGAGACCTTAAAGCTCATCTCATTCCAAGGAGAGGAGCACCTTCCTCTAGACCAGCTTGCTCCAATCAAAGATGCAACCATTAAAGTGGAGTAAAAATAATTTTAAGGATCTTTTCTGCACCCACTTGGAGGTTTTAGAGGCATTGAAGGAGGCTTCAGGCCTCCTGTGGTGTGGAAGGAATTCCTGAACAGGGTTTTCTTTCTTCCTGGAAATGCTGTGCTGGGGATAAAGCAGGCAGAATATTTAACTCTGGGCTAGCTGCTAGTTTTGATTGCTCTTTATGGACTGTTTCTGCTGATGTTCTCAAGTAATTTCTGTAGAAAAATCCAGTCTTTTATTCAAAGGTCTGTTTTTTCTTAGACCTTGAATGATTCATGGGGTTTTTTTCCTGCATTTATAAAATGTCAGTCCTGTGGTTTGTTATGATGTATGGCCTGAACATTCCTGGTTCCTGTGATGCCAACTTATCCATCTTCACTGTGGCCTGTTAGTGCCTCAGAAAACAAGCCTTGAACAGTTCTGGAGCTGCAGATGTTTATTCCTTAATGGCCTCTTGGCTTTCTCAGAGATGTTACAGCTCCTAAAAGGTCCAAAGCAATTTGCTCCCTGCTTCTCTGAACCCTTATCTCCCTGGAATGCCTCATTCTTTATTCCAAATCCAGTTTTTCCTGAGTGGCTGTTTGTGCTGAGCCTAAACCAGGGATTTCAGGAGTGTTCAGCTATGGAGAACTCTCCTTCCTGAATTTACTTGATATTGAATTTCTGCAGCTGAATTTGGACAGGTCCTTCCTGTAAAGCTTTTCCCAGTGTTTCTCCCAACCCTCCCAGGACAATATCTCCTGCAGCTCTGAGCTGATGGGTTATTGTTCCTCTGTTTGGCTTGGCCTCAAGTTTAAAAAAAAAAAAAAAAAAAAAAAAAAAAAAAAAAAAAAAAAAAAAGAAAGAAGGATGAAAAAAATTGCTGTTACTATTTTGGAACTTTGATTTGCAAACCACTTTTCATTATTTCACTTTCCCTAAACAAATCCAAACCGTTGCAGTATCGTGATGTTTAAGTCAGTGGAAAAAATTATTTCAAAATTTGGAATGGAAGCTTTAAGCAGTGGGATTCAGTGGTTCTAACACCATTCAGCTCCCTAACAAAGTGCTTCATTTGGAACTAATCAGAGCTTTGTGATTTTTCTAGGCCAATTTGGAACTGCTTTGATGTGCGACGGGATCAGATAGTATGAGCTCAGGCAGACAAGACATATGGGCTAAATTAATCCTTAGCAAGTCTAAGAAAATTAAATCTTTATGGAAAAAAAATGGAGGTTATGTATAAACAAAATGCAAATTATAAGCTGCACGCGATGCTTGTTGTAAGGAGAGTGGAGAGGAGGGAATACAAGATAAGAGGCAATAAATTGTAACAAACTGCTTGTTCAGAGGTTTTCTGGAGCTGTGTGGTTGCTCTGACTCGGCTTCAATCATTCTGAGTGTTTATATTTCTGATTATTCGGAATATTTGCAACCTGGTTGTCTGGGATAACGCAGCCCTGCCGGAGCTGCTTTCCCAGCTTGCTCCTCTGCTCTGTCCCTTTGCCAGGAGGATGGTGCTCAGCCCTCTGGAACTTCCTCCCAGCAGCCCTGGGCTGGAGGGAGAGTTTAATGAGCTCCAGGAGAGAGGCTGTGTGAGATAAGCTCAGCTAAAGACTGACTTTGGCAAAGGAAATTTAAACTCTTCCCCACCCTCCTGCCAAGCTGGGAGTTTAATGGTTGGTCTGACAGAAAGCTTGGTGTTAAGTTTTGTTATTGGTGCAAAGCCGTGTGGAAGAAACAGCATATAATTAGATAAATATAACACTTTTGCATTTCTATATATAAAATAAACTTTTTTTTGTCAAGAAGTGCTGAAAAGGAAAGCAGCTACCTGTAACCCTCTTCTTTCCTGACACTCATCTGCCATTCTGGATTGATTTCTTTACACATAGAAGCTTTTTTATGGATGTCAAGTATACAGAGCCTTTCACTCGTTCTACTGCCTGAAAGTGTGTATAAATCTATAAATGTCAGTCTTAAAATGGAGCTTACAATAGGTAATTGTATGGAGTGGGGCTGTGCTATTTCTGACTTGCATTGTGTGTGCTGACTGACGGCAACATGGAATGGGAGGGGGCGCAAAGTATTGTTTTCTGCAGAAATTGTCCCAGCTCAGGGCACTCTGTCAAGTTAGCAGGGTCTGAGGGAACCTTTTCCCTTTCAGGGACCTGGGGCTGCTGGTTTTGAGTTACCTGAGTGAAGGAGAACCAATTTTGTTGTGGCAAGATGCACATTTTCTCCTGTGATTTGTGCCAGGCTGAAAATCCATGTGGAATTCTAATTGCAGCTCTCCCTACCAGCAGCTCAGGTCTATTCCAGATGTAACAATTGAATTTCAAGTCACACAGTTACTCTGAGTAGTTACTGGGAGTGTTTTTGTTGGTCTGAACTCCCTCTTTAAAGCATCTTTTCCTCTTCAAGGTTCTTAAACCCTTTTTTTGTTTTGATGCTTCAACCTTCTGCTTGGGGATTGTTAGTGTAGAAGTTTCCATTGAAATATGATCATGACAGGTTATTAAATGGCAAAGACAAGAAAATCAGGGTGTTGCTGCTGAGAATTTTTCATTGCAATCTGTTGTGGAAATACTTGGGAATGCCTTGAGTCACCTCCCTGGAGAGGTAACGGAGCCCCATGGAGCCACTTCTGCTCCCCTGGCACCAGGATGGGGAGACAGTGGGAGGAATGAAACAGAGCTCCTGGCTTAGGATAAAGACAATTTAATAGGGAAAACAAAAGCCACACATGCAAGCAAAGCAAAGAGTCAGTTCCCCATGGATGGGGAGGGTTTGGCCATCCCAGGGAACCTCATGGGTCATGGAAGAGTATTGGGGTCACTGAACATCCCCTGCTTCCTTCTTCCCTCAGCTTTCCTTACTGAGGCCTGGAATATCTCTTGGACCAGCTGAGCTCAGCTGGCTGCCCATGCCCCATCCCCAAAACCCTGGTGCCCATCCCAAATCCTTGTGCCCCCGCCCCCAGCCTCTGTGCTGGTGGGGTGGGACCCAAAAAAGGCCTTGGTTGTGTCAGCCCTGCTCAGCAGTGACCAAAACATCCCTGAGTTATCCACAGCTTCCAGCACAAATCCAAAGCAGCCTCACAGCAGCTACTGTGGAGAAAATTAACTCTACCCCACCCGAAACCAGCACGGCATCATAACAGAAAAGTGACATTTTCCAAAAGCCCTTTTCCCCAGTTTTCTTGTGGAAAAGTTAAAATCTGTGGTGTGCAGAGGTTAAAGGTCTTGTAATCTCTCTCCAATTGACCGCTGTGTGACTATTGTTTAAGAAAGAATTACGCTGTAAGTAGCTTTTTAGATTAGCCAAGATAATCTCAGTTTGTGAATAGCTGCTGACTGAAAGCACTTCCCTGAACTGTTACTTGGGGAATATCAGCAGTAACACCCTCACTTCTCAGAGAAGCCAACTTCTCCTGAGTGCCTTCCCAGGGGATCCTTCACTCCAGAGAAGGTGTGATGTTTGTGTGTTGTTGTTCATTTTAATGGATTTTTTTGTACTTTTCCTTCCAGGTCACTCCAAGGTCGGAGACCCCCATCAACAGTGTCAGTAACAGTTTGGAAAATGTGCTCCACACATCCACACATTCCATGGAGGAGTCACTACCCAAGAGGCCTTCGGGGAAGCACTCCAAAGGTGTGTCCTTTTCCTCCTGCCTGCTGCCACTGGGGAGCCACCTCACATCCTTGGTGGTGCTCAGCTTTATTTTCCTTGGGATTGGAGGCTGGAAATTTGCTGCTTTGCTCCTGGTTGGGCAAAGGAAGCCACAGAAGGGTTTGTAGGAAATGTGAGTGTGTCAGGGAGAAGTGGCCAGTGAGAGAGGAGTATCCTGATTTTTCCATTTCCATCATTATTTTAAATAAGCAAGAAAGTTTTTTGAGATACCTCCTTTTGAAATACCAGCTTTGCTCTCAAGAAATGTTCTCCAACAGTGGATCTCTTGGACATTCCACCTCTCAGCAGGTTATTTCTTGGATAAAGCATATGGTGTTGAGTGTTTCTCAAAGGGAAAAGAAATTTAAATAATTTTGAGTGCCACTTCCACCTTTCTCTTGCTTTCCCAAGTGGAAAACTGAGTGAAGAGAAGTGGGAGACAGGAGAGAGATCTTGCACCTTTCTCTTACAAATTAAATCTGGTTTTTCTAATGCGATATTGCACGATGACCTGTCTGAAAACTGGGCTTAGCAAATCAGGGTTAATTACTCCATTTCCACACTCCAGGCTCTCATTGCAAATATGAAAATGTCCAGGATAAAATGTGACTAACAGTGATTTTATTTAATGTATTAAAAAAAAAAATCACTGGTAATGAGGAAAGTCTTTGAACTGGGAGCTGTTCTTTGAGCAGAACAGCTTTTGTGAGCCCTGTAGGGCAGAATTAATCAGGGGAGATATCTGCCCTCATATGTTGCCTTCAAATATCATTAAAAATACTGCCAAGCACCATCTTAATTTTTTTTATTTGGAATTTGTTCTGTTTTCTTCTCCTCCACTGGCTTCCTACAGAACTTTGCAAATACAGTTTGATATCACAGAAATTCAAGAATTTCAAAGCACATCTTTGCTCAGAGGATCTGATACAGCTCCCACAGAAAGGGTTAAATGTCCCAAGAAATGTTGACTTGCCACCAGCCCTCCTTTTCAGTGACACACTCCACTGTAATCCCAGAAGTGGAAGGAGCAGTCATTTTTTACAGCACAGTAATGCTGCAAGTTGCCATTTCTCCAGCTGTAAAAACCATCAGGGTAGAAGAAAACGCAGCACTAAGCAGAAGCATGGCTGGGTTTGTGGCTTTCATCTGATTAAAAATAGGACAGGGTTCAACACTGTTTTCATTTGTACTCAGTGATTGCTATTCCAGTACCATATATGCTAAGATTAGTCATGGTACGCTGTGAAAATTAATTAGGTTTTGCTCTGATCTGTTTTTCTCTTATAGAATACCTGCCTCGTGTTCAGTTTAATTTACAGGCTGCCTCAGTGATGGTTGGGGAAAGGGGGTGTGGAACAAATACTGATATTCTGCTTTCTGCTTCACCAGCACTGTTGAATTCTTGATGTCTTGGGGTTCTGTTTCTTCAGCTTGGAGTGCAATTTAGCATTATTTGCCACCTGAATCCACTGTTCCTGACTTATATTCCTCATTTTCATAGCAAACACAGCTCTTCATTTAGTAAGACCCATCAACTTTTTAACTTGGAGCACATAAAATTGTCATGAAAGCATGGGATGCTTGATTTTGATGTTGTTATTTTTTAGTGAGCCTGGTTTCAGACGGCTTGACAGGACAGGATTTCTCCCCAGAAGTAATGAGTTGCCCAAGGTCATCATTCCTCTCCTGGCAAAGCCCTGGAGCTGGAAGTATCTCTGTTAAAAAGGCTGGAGCTGAAACATGAGAAAGAAAAGAAAAATGAGGAAGGTGCAGTATTTGTTGTGCTTAGCTGGATTAGAGACAGTTTGGATTAACCCAGGGAATGTTTTAATCCAGATTTGGGGACATGTCAGTAATTTAATTTACTCTCCACAGCTGAACAGTGACTGGGGTTGTAGTAGCTTGGACCTGAAAGCTCTCAGTGACTTTGTTTTCCTTAATCTGCCACTTTTGGCATCAAATACTGGAGTTGCTACATGAGAGGGAGCAGGAAGAGAGGAGCATTCTGCTGGATCCTCTGTGGCAGTGTGTGTGCTCCTGAAATGTTTGTACAGCTTCGTGCACAGACTTGTCAGATACCTGGGAGTAATTGCACCAGAATTGTACTGCCTCAGGAAATGAATTTATAACAGGAGTGTCAGCCTGAGGAGTGCAACCTTTGCTTTTACCTCAGAAGCCCAGCTCGCTGTGGGAGCACTGTCAGGCATTAAATCATAAATTATGGAATGATTTGGATTGGAAAAGACCTTAGATTGGCTAATTCCATGGGCAGGGACACCTTCCACTAGCCCAAAGGCCGGAACCGGGCCGCAAAAACCAAAGTGGTGAAAAGGGGGGACAACAAAACCCTGGGTTTTTTATCAGAATTCCTCAATATTTTGCTGCTGTTTCTCCAGACTAAACCCCTTTCTCCATGTGTACATAAAATGGGATAAACCAGGTGGACATTGCTTCCCAGTGAAAGTTGGGACACTGAGAAGTTCTGTGCCTGCTGACATAAATATTTTGGGGATCTGTGCTCTAACTGGGCTTTTCTTTTATAAAATAAAGTTTAAAAATTTGCCCTGTGCAAGTTGAGAAAAAAATACAGATGGGTTCTGACAGAAAGATGTGAAATCCAGCAATTGTAGCATGCTCTGTGAATTGTGCTTTTTACTCCTATTTTGACCAGTGATTTAGGGCTGTTCAAAGCTGTTTCCACAGATGAGGAATTGTTTTAGCTGGAGGGAACTTTGGGAAGTGGAGGCTTTCCCTGTTCTCAGGATCTGGCTGTGGAGCTGGAAGCTGCAGTCAGGCTCGTTCACAGGTATTGAGGCACTGACAGATCTCACTGGTCAAGCAGAGCAGAGATAAACACAGAGATTCTTGGGTTACATACAATTAAAATTCCAAGAGGGGTGTGTTGCTTTCTCTCCCTCTTCCCACTGTTCCTAGAATGTAGTCAAGTTTTAATAATGGTTTTAACACCATTTGAACAAAATAAATTCAAATAAAGGTTGGGCATTTTTTGTCCCCTCAGTCTTTCCCAGTAGAAAGTTGTTTAAAAAAGTAAGGAGTTAAAATTGCTTTTCACTATTTTGTTTTGCAGGCAATCCTCTGCTGGTAGCAAAGGGAAGTTCAGGAAATTCTGTTTTTATTCCAAAGTTCAGGAGGAGCTGTGTGACCCATGGGAAGCCTTGTGCACAGAGCTAATTTTTAACAAGCCTGTGGATGTAGAGTTGGGGTAATTCCCTAAAGAGAGTAGTTACTGGTTATCACAGCTGACTGAAAAAAATCAGCTTATTTTATTTGTTAAAAAAAGCAATAGGAATTTTCCATGCTCCAGAGATGTTGCTAATTACTCTTCTACTGTCAGGTTCCAAGGATTTGGCCATTAGGTGGAGAGCAGTGGAGGCAAGTCCTGCTCTCTGCATGTGACATATTTTAGCAATGTATTAAACATGCTCAGTGACCACAGCATATTTTCCAAAAGCACAGAGGAATTAAATGCATTAGACCAGATGTTGAAGTGCAGAACAAAAGCATCTTTATAATGACAGCATAAGTTACAAACATCCCAGGGCAGAGACTGTGCAGGCTTCATCCTGTCACTGCTCTCAGTAAAATCAGTAAAAATCTCAGTAAATCAGTAAAATCCTGATTTGTCACAGCCGCTGGGTGAAGTTTCCTGCACTGGAGGTTTAGAAGCTGCTCATTTTGCAGGTGGCACTGGCCATGTCCCTCCCCAGAGCAGCCTGGACAGTGATTTCCTCAAGTGAACAAGTCTCATTTTCTGCAAAGTGACAGAAACTCTCCTATTCTTGTGTTTCCTGTATATTTATGTTGCTTTTCCTCTGTTGCCACACAAAACCCTCCAAATTGTCTCCACGCCAGCCTGATTTCAAATGAGGCAACTGTTGAAATCTGATCCTTCTCGAGTGAAGCTGAATCATAATTCTTGCAACACAGGATCTAAGGATAGGCACAAACTGCTTCTGCAGAGTGAGGAGTAAAGCTCTGAGACGTAAAATGGGGGCAGGAGGCTTCATTCTACAATCTCTTCTCCATTTAGCTCTGCTGAGCACAGAAAAACCAATTGCTTAATTGAAGGGATGCTCTGAGTCCACACACAAAGTCCTACAAAGCCTTGATGGGTCCCAGACTTGGATAAATACATGGAACAGCACATGGCTGATGGGATAAAAGTCTATGGGCATGAAGGAAAACAAGCTCTAAGTGTATCTCGGGAATATATTGATTTAGTTTTCAGTCAATATGGGGATGTCAGTCTATCCCTGTTTGCAGTTTCCCTGTTGAGCCCAGGTGGGATCAGTTGGAGGTGGCCTGTGGTGGTTGTCACGTGCAGCAAACGTTGGTATCTGAATTATTTCATGACAATAGTCAGCAGCAATGTGTGATGTCAGCCTCCCAGAACTTCTCGCCACTATTTTTGCTGCTCTGTTTTCCTTGGCAAAATGTGTTTGTACGGTCTTGCACCTTTTTTTTTTTTCCTTCTCCCACTTCCTTGACTCATTCTTTTTCCATAAGAAACCAGGCTGCAGGAGCTCTCCCAGTTTAATGGCGACCAACAGCCTTTTCCTCTTGAAATGTTTGACGTCAGTCTGCTGAAGGCAGGCAGAAAATACAGGGGGAGGGGGGAAAAAAAACCACTGAAATCTATTTTGTTCAGGTCCAGATTTTAGACTGCCTTGTTCTGCATCAGTTGTGGAGCTGGATTATTCTATTTTTAAGTAACTGCATCATCTCCAACAATATTGGGTCAACTACTGGTAGGGTAGGGCTTAAAGAAATATTTAGGCTATGATAATCCTTCAGGAAAAATCTCCCTCTCCCAACTGTATATAATTTTTCAGCTGTTTGTGTATGTCCTTGCTCATTTTCCCTCTGAAGGGAGAGCTCTGCTTCTAAACTTGAGCAATGTAGGTTGAGATCACACACCAGGCAGCATTCCTGACCTTCTGTCTCTGCCACACGAGTTCTTT